GCAGACGTGGCAGCAGAGGAAGGGGTCGAGGCAGCACTATTCGCAGCCAGAGGCCAGTGCTCCCGGTGTCATCCAGCGGTCGTGTCTCCACCGACAACCCTGCGTCGTCGATTGGTTGGCTCGGTCGTCTTCCTCTTCCCAGGTCACCTCTGACACCTACAGCCAACAACGGTCGGTGGGTACGTCAGACACAACCGTTAGTTGGCATGGCCCGGGACCAAGCCCACTGAAATCACGTGTCCTCTACCTGCCCCTGTCCTTTGGTGTTCCCTCACCAAGCGAAGTATCGCATGCTGTGGGCTCAGCCCCACTGTACAGTGAGGAAGAGCTAACAGAGGGCGGTCAGGAACGGGGGGAGACATCCGCCTTTTCAGCAGCCAGGCGAAGAAGTAGTGGCGAGGAGAGTGGCTCGGTAGCCGGTCTAGAGACAGGTCTGTCTCCTGACCCAGACGCAGCCGAGGGGGCTAGTAGTGAGGCGGAGACCCCTTACTTGATGATGAGGTTGATCGCACTGGCAGCAGCCTCGTCGTCATCAGGCAATTTCTTCCGCATCATCAGGAGAAGAGGGTGGCAGCTTGGGCAGCGAGCAGTCGGTGGGTTGCCCAGGAGACAGCAGCAGGGTCGCAGCAGTGTCAGTGGAGCCAAACGGCCACGGAGTAGAGCACCAGCTCCACTGCAGCCTACCACCACCACGGCCAGTAGTGGTGCCGGTGTGCACGGAGGAAGCAGCAGTCAGCCAGTGAGGAGTATCGGGGGCAAAGTTTCCTACTCGGCGGTGTGGCAATTTTTTCGTCAAGCCGCAAGCCCCGAGGAAGTAAACGTAGCCGTATGTCGACTATGTGGCCAGAAAGTCAAGCGTGGCCAGGGGGCCCATGTTGGGACTACAGCGTTGCGGCAGCATATGCAGCGTCGCCATTTGGTGGCCTGGGAAAACCGTGATAAAGATACGGCGGTTCTGCCCGCCCCAGCCCCCGCTCCATCACCCGCTCCGTTACTTGCTCCGTCACCCGACGTCAATCGCCCTCCATCAGCCAGTCAAGGCTCCAACACCTCTGCTGAGGGGAGTTGTCGCTCGTTGGCATCTTCCTTCCGCTCGTTCAGATGCTCCTTCTCCTGCTACTCCTCTTCACGGATTCCGTCAGCAGTCTTTCTTGGAATCCGTTTCCAAGAGACAACAGTTTTGCGAGCACGCACCCGACGGTGCAAAAGCTGAACGTCCTCCTGTCCAAGTTGCTGGTGCTGCAGTCCCTCCCTTTCCAAGTGGTGGACTCAGCACCTTTCAGAGAAATGATGGCTTGTGCCGCGCCGCGGTGGAGAGTGCCAAGCCGTCATTTCTTCGCCAAAAAGGCAGTGCCAGCCCTGCATTCACATGTAGAAGACATGGTGGGCCAGTCTTTGAGCATGTCGGTCTCTGCCAAAGTGCACGGCAGCGCCGACGTGTGGAGCTGTAACTATGGTCAGGGACAGTACATGTCATTTACGGCCCACTGGGTGAACGTGGTGCCGTCACAGTCACAGCCGCACCAGCAACTTGGACAGGTCACGCCGCTTTTGCCTCCACGTTTGCACGTCCTTGGTCCGGCAAAGATGTCCGCCTCTACCACCTCTTCTTCCGCCGTGTCCTCAGCCGCCCCCCCCGTGCCAAGTCCCATTACCCGACCGGCATATCACATGTGCAGGGGGCGCAACGGTGTCACGCTGTTCTGCACCTGGTATGCCTTGGCGAACGTAGTCACACAGGGGAGGAACTTCTGAGTGTAATGAACAGAGAAATCGACAGATGGCTGTCTCCGCGCAAACTGAAAATCGGAACCATGTTGACCGACAACGGAAAGAACATGGTGTCTGCTCTGCGTCAAGGAAGGTTGTGCCATGCGCCATGCATGGCTCACGTGTTTCAATCTGGTTGTCAAGGTTCCTAAAATCCACCATCCCACTGCAAGACATCCTTAAAATGTCACGTAAACTTTGCATGCATTTCAGCCATTCCTACACCGCAAAGCACACCCTCCTTGAGCTGCAGCGGCAGAACGGAATTCCACAGCATCGCCTGATCTGCGACGTTGCAACAAGGTGGAATTCAACCCTACACATGTTAGACCGCCTTTACGAACAGCGAAAGGCCATCACCGATTTCCTGATGTTACAAGCGGATAAAGGTACTCCCCTGTGTAACTTCGATGTCAGCCATTGGCAGCTCATGCGTGACACCTGCCGCTTGCTCAGGCCCTTTGAGGAGGCCACGCTATTCGTGAGTCGGCAGGACTATGGGATGAACGACGTCATTCCTCTGTTGCACGTCCTTGAACAAATGCTGTTAACAATGGCTGGTCAGGGGGTGCGGTAGACGTGGCGCACAGATCTCAACGCCACATGACCCCTGTGGGGGCAGGACAGGAAGAAGAGGAGGAGGTAGAGGAGGACATTTGTGCTCAGGAATTATTGAGTGAAATGGGTGGTTTTTTCCACTCAGCGGACAGGAGTGGAGGAGCAGTAGCATCTCTGGTAGAGGAGGAGGAGGAGGAGACAGAGGACCCAGACGCACCGTGGCAGTATGCTGTGGAGATGGAGGCAGGGAGTCCCTCGCATTCCTTGGCACAAATGGCCCATAGCATGCTCGGTTGCTTGCGTAGCGACAGCCGAATAATAACCATCAGACAGAGGGATGACTTTTGGCTGTCCACCTTGTTGGACCCTCGCTACCGTTCCAAAATGGTGGCCTTTTTCACACCTGCTGAGAGGGAGGCCAAAATAACGTACTATAAAAACCACCTATGTAGTCAGTTGGTCTCTGCCTTTGTGCGCCAACGTCCATCCTCAGACACTGTGGGCCCTGTGCGCTCGCGTTCCGCTGCCATGGCAGCAGGGGAGGGGTGGGGTGGTAGGAGCAGTGGCAGCTCCACCAGCAGCGGCTGCCTCAGTCTGCAGTCGATGATGAGTAGCTTTCTTCTTCACCAGCGCAGTGAGGAAACTACTAACCAGCCGCAGCAGCAGCAGCAGCATCAGGTGGACCTGGAGCAGGACCTCAAACAACAGGCTTGGGCCTACTTGGACAGCACCCTGCCAACCGAGGTAGACAATCCCCTTGACTACTGGGCAACGAAACTTGACCTTTGGCCCCAACTAGCTGAATTTGCCCTTGAAAGGCTGTCATGCCCGGCCAGTAGCGTGGCATCGGAGCGCGTGTTTAGTGCGGCAGGAGGTATTGTAACTCCGCGGAGGACACGACTGTCCACCCAAAGTGTGGAGAGACTCACGTTTGTGAAAATGAATCAGGCGTGGATTAGTCTGGATTTCAAACCACCAGTTCCTGACACAACTGACTAAATCCGCCATGAATCATGCCTCAAACATGTGCCACTTTCAGGTCTCCTCACACACTGCTGGTGTGTTGAATTTTTTGACATAGGGTGCTGGCAGATTACGGGCCTCCCATAGCTGCTGCCAGGCCCCTAATAATCTGCCATAGGCCCCTATATACCGCCTCCTCATGCTGCTGCCAGGTCCAGAGTCTCTCATGGGTCCCTGTACGGCCTCCCATTGCTGCTGTCTCCATCGCCACACTCTGCCATGTGCCACTTTCAGGTCTCCTCACACACTGCTGGTGTGTAGAATTTTTTGACATAGGGTGCTGGCAGATTACGGGCCTCCCATAGCTGCTGCCAGGCCCCTAATCTGCCATGGGCCCCTATATACCGCCTCCTCATGCTGCTGCCAGGTCCAGAGTCTGTCATGGGTCCCTGTACGGCCTCCCATTGCTGCTGTCTCCATCGCCACACTCTGCCATGTGCCACTTTCAGGTCTCCTCACACACTGCTGGTGTGTTAGAATTTTTTGACATAGGGTGCTGGCAGATTACGGGCCTCCCATAGCTGCTGCCAGGCCCCTAATCTGCCATAGGCCCCTATATACCGCCTCCTCATGCTGCTGCCAGGTCCAGAGTCTCTCATGGTCCCTGTACGGCCTCCCATTGCTGCTGTCTCCATCGCCACACTCTGCCATGTGCCACTTTCAGGTCTCCTCACACACTGCTGGTGTGTAGAATTTTTTGACATAGGGTGCTGGCAGATTACGGGCCTCCCATAGCTGCTGCCAGGCCCCTAATCTGCCATGGGCCCCTATATACCGCCTCCTCATGCTGCTGCCAGGTCCAGAGTCTCTCATGGGTCCCTGTACGGCCCCCCATGCTGCTGTCTCCATCGCCACACTCTGCCATGTGCCACTTTCAGGTCTCCTCACACACTGCTGGTGTGTTGAATTTTTTGACATAGGGTGCTGGCAGATTACGGGCCTCCCATAGCTGCTGCCAGGCCCCTAATCTGCCATAGGCCCCTATATACCGCCTCCTCATGCTGCTGCCAGGTCCAGAGTCTCTCATGGGTCCCTGTACGGCCTCCCATTGCTGCTGTCTCCATCGCCACACTCTGCCATGTGCCACTTTCAGGTCTCCTCACACACTGCTGGTGTGTAGAATTTTTTGACATAGGGTGCTGGCAGATTACGGGCCTCCCATAGCTGCTGCCAGGCCCCTAATCTGCCATGGGCCCCTATATACCCGCCTCCTCATGCTGCTGCCAGGTCCAGAGTCTCTCATGGGTCCCTGTACGGCCTCCCATTGCTGCTGTCTCCATCGCCACACTCTGCCATGTGCCACTTTCAGGTCTCCTCACACACTGCTGGTGTGTAGAATTTTTTGACATAGGGTGCTGGCAGATTACGGGCCTCCCATAGCTGCTGCCAGGCCCCTAATCTGCCATAGGCCCCTATATACCGCCTCCTCATGCTGCTGCTGCCAGGTCCAGAGTCTCTCATGGGTCCCTGTACGGCCTCCCATTGCTGCTGTCTCCATCGCCCACACTCTGCCATGTGCCACTTTCAGGTCTCCTCACACACTGCTGGTGTGTAGAATTTTTTGACATAGGGTGCTGGCAGATTACGGGCCTCCCATAGCTGCTGCTGCCAGGCCCCTAATCTGCCATAGGCCCCTATATACCGCCTCCTCATGCTGCTGCCAGGTCCAGAGTCTCTCATGGGTCCCTGTACGGCCTCCCATTGCTGCTGTCTCCATCGCCACACTCTGCCATGTGCCACTTTCAGGTCTCCTCACACACTGCTGGTGTGTAGAATTTTTTTGACATAGGGTGCTGGCAGATTACGGGCCTCCCATAGCTGCTGCCAGGCCCCTAATCTGCCATGGGCCCCTATATACCGCCTCCTCATGCTGCTGCCAGGTCCAGAGTCTCTCATGGGTCCCTGTACGGCCTCCCATTGCTGCTGTCTCCATCGCCACTGTCTCCATCGCCACACACTCTGCCATGTGCCACTTTCAGGTCTCCTCACACACTGCTGGTGTGTAGAATTTTTTGACATAGGGTGCTGGCAGATTACGGGCCTCCCATAGCTGCTGCCAGGCCCCTAATCTGCCATGGGCCCCTATATACCGCCTCCTCATGCTGCTGCAGAGTCTCTCATGGGTCCACGGCCTCCCATTGCTGCTGTCTCCATCGCCACACTCTGCCATGTGCCACTTTCAGGTCTCCTCACACTGCTGGTGTGTTGAATTTTTTGACATAGGGTGCTGGCAGATTATGGGCCTCCCTATAGCTGCTGCCAGGCCCCTAATCTGCCATGGGGCCCCTATATACCGCCTCCTCATGCTGCTGCCAGGTCCAGAGTCTCTCATGGGTCCCTGTACGGCCTCCCATTGCTGCTGTCTCCATCGCCACACTCTGCCATGTGCCACTTTCAGGTCTCCTCACACACTGCTGGTGTGTAGAATTTTTTGACATAGGGTGCTGGCAGATTACGGGCCTCCCATAGCTGCTGCCAGGCCCCTAATCTGCCATAGGCCCCTATATACCGCCTCCTCATGCTGCTGCCAGGTCCAGAGTCTCTCATGGGTCCCTGTACGGCCTCCCATTGCTGCTGTCTCCATCGCCACACTCTGCCATGTGCCACTTTCAGGTCTCCTCACACACTGCTGGTGTGTTGAATTTTTTGACATAGGGTGCTGGCAGATTACGGGCCTCCCATAGCTGCTGCCAGGCCCCTAATCTGCCATGGGCCCCTATATACCGCCTCCTCATGCTGCTGCCAGGTCCAGAGTCTCTCATGGGTCCCTGTACGGCCTCCCATTGCTGCTGTCTCCATCGCCACACTCTGCCATGTGCCACTTTCAGGTCTCCTCACACTGCTGGTGTGTAGAATTTTTTTGACATAGGGTGCTGGCAGATTACGGGCCTCCCATAGCTGCTGCCAGGCCCCTAATCTGCCATGGGCCCCTATATACCGCCTCCTCATGCTGCTGCCAAGTCCAGAGTGTGTCATGGGTCCCTGTACGGCCTCCCATTGCTGCTGTCTCCATCGCCACACTCTGCCATGTGCCACTTTCAGGTCTCCTCACACTGCTGGTGTGTTGAATTTTTTGACATAGGGTGCTGGCAGATTACGGGCCTCCCATTGCTGCTGCTGCCAGGCACGTAATCTGCCATGGGCCCCCGTACCGACTCCTCATGCTGTGACGTTGCAACAAGGTGGAATTCAACCCTACATATGTTAGACCGCCTTTACGAACAGCGAAAGGCCATCACCGATTTCCTGATGTTAAAAGCGGATAAAGGTACTCCCCCTGTGTAACTTAGATGTCAGCCATTGGCAGCTCATGCGTGACACCTGCGCTTGCTCAGGCCCTTTGAGGAGGCCACGCTATTCGTGAGTCGGCAGGACTATGGGATGAACGACGTCATTCCTCTGTTGCACGTCCTGGAACAAATGCTGTTAACAATGGCTGGTCAGGGTGCGGTAGACGTGGCGCACAGATCTCAACGCCACATGACCCCTGTGGGGGCAGGACAGAAGAAGAAGAGGAGGAGGTAGAGGAGGACATTGGTGCTCAGGAATTATTGAGTGAAATGGGTGGTTTTTTCCACTCAGCGGAAGGAGCAGGAGAGGGAGAGGCAGGAGCATCTGGCCACTGGTGCTCCAGCAGGAGGAGGAGGAGGAGCACAGAGGCCCCAGACGCACCGTGGCAGTATGCTGTGGAGATGGAGGCAGGGAGTCCCTCGCATCGCATTCCTTGGCACAAATGGCCCATAGCATGCTCGCTTGCTTGCGTAGCGACAGCCGAATAATAACCATCAGACAGAGGGATGACTTTTGGCTGTCCACCTTGTTGGACCCTCGCTACCGTTCAAAAATGGTGGCCTTTTTCACACCTGCTGAGAGGGAGGCCAAAATAACGTACTATAAAAACCACCTATGTAGTCAGCTGGTCTCTGCCTGTCTGCGCCAACGTCCATCCTCAGACACTGTGGGCCCTGTGCGCTCCGCGTTCCGCTGCCATGGCAGCAGGGGGGGTGGGGTGGTAGGAGCAGTGGCAGCTCCACCAGCAGCGGCTGCCTCAGTCTGCAGTCGATGATGAGTAGCTTTCTTCACCAGCGCAGTGAGGAAACTACTAAACCAGCCAGCAGCAGCAGCAGCAGCAGCAGCATCAGGTGGACCTGGAGCAGGACCTCAAACAACAGGCTTAGGCCTACTTGGACAGCACCCTGCCAACCGAGGTAGACAATCCCCTTGACTACTGGGCAACGAAACTTGACCTTTGGCCCCAACTAGCTGAATTTGCCCTTGAAAGGCTGTCATGCCCGGCCAGTAGCGTGGCATCGGAGCGCGTGTTTAGTGCGGCAGGAGGTATTGCAACTCCGCGGAGGACACGACTGTCCACCCAAAGTGTGGAGAGACTGACGTTTGTGAAAATGAATCAGGCGTGGATTAGTCTGATTTCAAACCACCAGTTCCTGACACAACTGACTAAATCCGCCATGAATCATGCCCCAAACATGTGCCACTTTCAGGTCTCCTCACACTGCTGGTGTGTTCCATTTTTTGTCATAGGGTGCTGGCAGATTACGGGCCTCCCATAGCTGCTGCCAGGCCCCTAATCTGCCATGGGCCCCTATACCGCCTCCTCATGCTGCTGCCAAGTCCAGAGTCTCTCATGGGTCCCTGTACGGCCTCCCATTGCTGCTGTCTCCATCGCCACACTCTGCCATGTGCCACTTTCAGGTCTCCTCACACTGCTGGTGTATTCCATTTTTTGTCATAGGGTGCTGGCAGATTACGGGCCTCCCATAGCTGCTGCCAGGCCCCTAATCTGCCATGGGCCCCTATACCGCCTCCTCATGCTGCTGCCAGGTCCAGAGTCTGTCATGGGTCCCTGTACGGCCTCCCATTGCTGCTGTCTCCATCGCCACACTCTGCCATGTGCCACTTTCAGGTCTCCTCACACTGCTGGTGGGTTCCATTTTTTGTCATAGGGTGCTGGCAGATTTCGGGCCTCCCATAGCTGCTGCCAGGCCCCTAATCTGCCATGGGCCCCCGTACCGACTCCTCATGCTGCTGCCAGGCCCGTAATCTGTCATGGGCCCCTGTTGTCGCTTGTTGGCATATTCCGCTCGTTCAGATGCTCCTTCTCCTGCTACTCCTCTTCACGGATTCCGTCAGCAGTCTTTCTTGGAATCCGTTTCCAAGAGACAACAGTTTGCGAGCACGCACCAGACGGTGCAGAAACTGAACGTCCTCCTGTCCAAGTTGCTGCTGCCAGGCTCGTAATCTGTCATGCGCCCCTGTACCGCCTCCTCATGCTGCTGCCAGGTCCAGAGTGTGTCATGGGCCCCCGTACCGACTCCAAATGCTGCTGCCAGGCCCGTAATCTGTCATGGGCCCCTGTACCGCCTCCCCATGCTGCTGCCAGGTCCAGATTGTGTCATGGGTCCCTGTACGGCCTCCCATTGCTGCTGCCAGGCCTGTAATCTGCCATGGGCCCCCGTACCGACTCCTCATGCTGCTGCCAGGCCCGTAATCTGCCATGGGCCCCCTGTACCGCCCGCCTCCTCATGCTGCTGCCAGGTCCAGAGTGTGTCATGGGTCCCTGTACGGCCTCCCATTGCTGCTGTCTCTATCGCCACACTCTGCCATGTGCCACTTTCAGGTCTCCTCACACTGCTGGTGGTTTCCATTTTTGTCATAGGGTGCTGTATGGCCTCCCATTGCTGCTGCCTCCACCGCCACACTGTGGCTCCACACTCTGGTTTTGGCCCCGTGACTGGCCAAATGAGTGAAGTGTGCGGTGATTCTAAGATCGACGGCACTCATCTGCATGTCATACTGCCTGACAGTATTATTTCTCTTCCCCAGCAGACTCCAAGGGCATTTAAATTAAAGGTACAGTGTTCAGCACTAATATTAAGTCTCGTTAAATTCACAGCGAATATATTCGACTCGAATCGAAATTTTTCCACGAATTCGCCGAATCAGTCGAATCGAATTTTTGAATACTTCGCTCATCTCTAACTATGACCATATATCTCCCAAATGCCCCAATCACTCCCAAAACATGGCAACTTGACCCGTTTCTTCTTATAGACCCATCTGTGACCCTCTAAATTCTTGAATGTCTGCTTCACTACTTTCGGGAAAATATATCTCCAGAAACAACCCCACTCACCCAATGGGAAGCACACAAATGTGTGACATGTGGGCTTCTACTTGCAATTGCGGCCTCTCGAAAGCATGCGGCACAGGCGTCTTTTAACTCATTACTCCAGAAAGTACGTCAACTAGAATGTTCCCATAAACGTAAACAGGCTTTGACACTTACTGCCGAACTAGTATCTGCATGTAAACAATTACTGGAAGCTGTGGAAAGGAAAACCAAGTGTAACTTTGCCTTATCTCAGAAACTGTTTTACAAACATGGGAACAAAAGTGGTAAATTCCTAGCTAGGGCCCTGCAAGCAAAAAAAAGCAGCTTGCACTATTCACCAAATCCATTCCCAGCAAGGTCAAATACTTAAAACATCCTCGGATATAGCAGTGGAATTTGAAAACTACTATACAACCCTATATAACCTCCCTCAAGCCCCAAAGCCTACAGGGGATAATCATGCAGGGGAGATCATGCAAGGATATTATCCAGGCTTTTCTATCACAATATCTTCCCAAACCTATGTCGCGATCAAAAGCAAGTGAACTAGATGGGGCACGGACACTTGCAGAACTTCAAAAAGCCATTGCACAATTAAAACCGGGCAAGAGCCCAGGCCCAGATAGGTTTACGACCACTTACTATAAATCCTTTATGGAAATTCTTGCGCAGCCATTCTTAAATGCATTCAACTCACTAGACACACCCCAGGACAGCCCATGAGATTTCTTTCTGAGCCCATATCACACTCATACCAAAAGAAGACAAGGATAAGACATCGACGGCCAACTAACATCCAATTTCCCTTCTGAACGTTGACCTAAAAAATCTTCTCAAAAATATTAGCGAACCGTCAACCATCTTTTAAGCATCATTGAATCCGCCATATCCACTGCTCAGGTTGGGTTTTGTGCCAGGTAAAGAGGCAAGAGATAACACAGTACGATCTCTAAATATACATCACTGGTTGCCGCAAACGAAACAACCTGGCTTCTTTCTCTCTCTCAATGCTGAGAAGGCTTTCGATAGGTTGGCCTGGGACTATATGGAAGTGGTTTTGGTTAGACTTGGCCTTCCTCTGCGCCTCATGAACTTTATCATGTCTTTATATACCGCACCAATGGCCAAGGTAAGGCTCAATGGTTTCCTGTCGGAAGCCTTCTCCATCAGTAATGGGACTAGACAGGGGTGTCCATTGTCTCCCCTCCTATTTGTCCTTACACTGGAACCCTTCTTGAAACGCATTCAAATGAATGA